CACTTCACACACAGCCACCACCAGCCTGTCACTGGAGGCTTGGGTCCTGGACAGGGTCCTGGAGCTGCCAGACTAGGAAAGACTGGGAAGAAAGGTCTGGGGACTGACTTCTGAGACGTCGCCCCAGAAAGCCTCGTGGCTCACAGTGGCCCAGTGCCCTGTGGGTGACAGGGAGCCACAGGAGTGGACCGTGTTGACTCCCTGGCAGCTAACGACTTGCAGAGTTAAGGGCCCAGGTGGTGTTGGGAAGGTACCTGGCATGCAGGCGAGTCGCCCTTGGGCAGGATTCTCAGCCACAGTGCTAGCGGCAGTCAGGGGAGAGCCAGCTTTCTGACAGGTGGGGGCCCAGGGCAGCAAGGGAGTTAAGGGAGTTGGGTGGGGGGAGCGTTATGGACATGACAGGTCCTGAAGACAGGAGGTGCCACAGGGACCCAGGGATGTCGCAGGGATTCCTGGGAGAAGAGAGTCTAGGTGGAGGGAAAGGAAAGGCCAGGGCTGCAGAGACGGGTGTCTCCGGAGCTGAGTTCGAGGCCGACAGTAATAAGGCCGACATGACAGCCATCTAGCCCGGGGGCTCTCCCTCTGTCCAGAGGAGAGGAGAGTGATGAACATTGAAAGACACAGGGGACAATTAGTTCCATGGGTCCGCGGACCAAATATCTACTGCAGAGGAACTCGATGGTGCCTGGCTACCACTGGCAACAGTGCCAAGAAGGCTCACCCTGGAAGGTCCTGGATAGAAACATGTGGAACAGCATTCACAGTCCTAAGAGACCAGGCTTATGGTTGAGTAGCGTGAGGCGGGACCCCCCCAGATGCTGGCCCTCAGTCACCCTCACGTCTGGAACAGCACTCACCCCTGTGGTAGAATCACCAGCCATTTGGGATCCACAGGGCAGCATTGACCCCAGGACAAAGTTCATAGGGTTAAGATGGAATGGAAACAAAAAAGAGGAAGTGGGATAAGGGGCGGTCCATTGAGGGACTGCAGTGGATGAGATGAGACAAGGGGACCAAACTGTTGTGTTGGTCCGGGTTGACTGGAGAAGCAAATTCACAGACACGCGTGTGTATAAGAAAGAGCTTTATATAAAGAGTAATTAGACATTAAGAAACAACCCAGCCCAGTCCAGATCAAGTTCATAAGTCTGATGTTAGCCCATATGTCCGATACCAATCCATAAAGTCCTCTTTAGACTCACACAACACATGCAGTGAGGTCGAATGCAGGAAGATCACAGGCCAGTGGGTGGGAAGTCTTGTGGATCCGGTGGTGGTGTAGACCTCAGTGCTGAGAGGGGTCTCCACATCGCAGGGCCCTAGTGTAGTTCCATGTGTCTTGCCAGTTGCAGTGTCTCCTAGGGAGGGAGCCAAAAGAGAGAGTGTGTCCAGTCTCCAAGGAGAAAGATAGGAGTTCCCAGAATCCTCAGGAGAAGGCCATGCCCACACAGAGGCCTCATTGACTATACAATGATTGACAGGCCAGACTCCACCCCTTCGCCCTGAATCCTCAAATTGACACCAGACTATGTAGCTACTACAACTGATAAATGTAAACCTGAACATCAAGTCTGTAAGCCGCCACCCAGACTACAATAAAACATTTGAAAAAAGGGTTCTTTTTTAAAAGGCTGACATTACAGGTTTCTGTGAGCAGAGGTATTAGGAGATGCAGTTGGGAAGCTTGACAGGGGCCGGGCCAAGTAGGGATTTTATTGTAAGTGTGTTAAGAAGCCATTGGAGGGTTGTAAGTAAGTGGGTCTGGCTGCGGTGTGGAGAGCAGATTCAGGGGAGCACAGAGGGAGGCTGCTGTGGTATCCCGGGGAGTGGCCAGATCTGTGGGGAGAGTTGACACTCTCTCAACTGCTGCTCTGGATGTGGGAGGCGAGGCGAGGACCAGAGCCAAGGACAACCCCGCGCTGGGAGGTCATGTGAACTTGCCGTCTCCTGGATGGACAAGTGATCAGATGGGCCTTGAATCCCCCCTTGGCCAGCACGTTCTGCCCATTGGCCCACACCTGCCTTGTCTCAAGAGCTACCTTCTCGAGCATCTTTGGCACACCCTTGTCACCTGGGCAGGTTAGCCTTATGCTCCTCATTCGAGACCAATCTAAAAGGCTGTTCCCAACTCCTGGCCCTGGAAGAGCCACCTGTCTGCTGCCTGGTGCTTCCTCTTGGTGGTGCTGTCACTCCCTCTCCCAGACCCCCCAGGGACACCATGGTGCCTTTCCTAATTGCTTGGGGATCACAAGAGATGTACTAGTGACTATTTTGAACTCTTTCTCGCTTCCCTGTGGAGTCATGCTCCGTTCCAGGCTGCTTGCACTCACAGCCCCATCAGGGGGCTCTGACGGCTGGAGAAGCAAGCCCTCAGCTAACAGAAAGGTCGGTGGTTCAAACCCATCCCCCAGCTCCAGGGGATGAAGACCGATTACCTGCTCCCACGTAGAGTCCAGTCCGGGGAATGCGACGGGCCAGTTCGACTCTGCCACACGGGGTCACTGTGTGCTCAGATACACACGACAGCACCTAACAGCAGTAGTCAGGCCACCACCGTCCTTGCAGGCTGTCGCTGTCTCCAGGGAGAGGTGGGGACTCAGTCGGGACCTTAGAGGGAAGGCTGGAACCCCAGAGGTCCTAGAACTTTCCTTCCAGGGAACCGTGAGTGCAGCCTAGAATGGCCCCTAGGCTACAGCGGCGAAGGTCTCACATGCCGCCTTTGGATTTCTCATCATGTTGGCCTCCTGCTCTGTGATGTTTCCGTGTTGGCTTTCAAACTAAACCAACGACTGCACGTTTCCTTAAGTAAAACGGAGCCACCAAGGGGCTGCGCTGTTTATTCTTGTGACCCGGGGTGATCCTAAGGCTACATGCCGTGTTCTCCCAGGGAACACCGGAGCCACGGAGGGGTGGGAGCACCAACGCAGGACCTGCCTGCAGGAGGCTTGCCACTTTGGGGGAGAGTCAGGGGTCAGGGTTGGAGAGGGGCCAGTTAGGAGGCACATAAGAATGGCACCTTAAGGGGGTGTCTGCTCCTCACAGTATACCACTAGTGAAGGGGTGGTCACCCACAAGTGTCCAGCAGTAGGACTCGAAAGCTCACAAACTCACCGCCACTGAGTCGACGGCCACTCACAGCGGCCCCAGAGAACAGGGTAGAATGGCCCCGGGAACGCTTTAGGGGGTCGAAGGCCCTGTCTGTCCCCCTAGGAGGGGCTGGTGGTTTCAAACTGCCGACCTTACAGATCGCAGCCCAACATGTAACCACTGTGCCACCAGGGCTCCAGGTGGATTCTTAGGGAAACTCTATTATGACCATACAGAGGGTGCTGACGATAAAATGTCATGTGAAAAAAGGCAGAAGAGCAGACCACATGTAGTAGGGTCCAACATGTAAAACACACAGCATGATCAGCAGGTGCCCCCCAATACTGACCTTAGTCATCGCTAGCTGGCAGTAGAACCGTGGGCTCTCGCTCAAGTTTTCTACAACAAGCACGACTTATTCTCCTCATTGGAAAACCACACTTACCTGATAGAGGAAGGGTCATGTGTGACTGCGTCAAAGGAGCCAGGGTGGGAGGGAGAGAGATGGAACCCTGTTAGGCGGGGGCTAGGTATGGCGGTTTGGAGTCCAGCTTCCTAGAGGGGGTACCGACACAGGCCTTGAGTAAAGAAAGAAGCGGCTGAAGGGAGCGTGTTGGGGGGCACCTTGTTTGCAGCGCGGGAAAGGAAGGAAATGGAGCCGGGAATGGTGTCCGAGTATGAGTTGCTATGGAGACCTGGGGAGGATCCAAGTGGAATACTGTCATTCCAGCGGAGGGGAAAGATTGACGGTCCTTGGTGAGGAAAACCTGCCTTCTTCCTAGAGTTACTTAGAGCATCTCCGAGGAGGCAGGTGAGATAAAGTCTCACCATCCTCGCGGTTAAGGAGCACTCTGGCTGCACGTTCTCCAACCTGGACGGCCCAGCTCTTCCAGCAGCCCACAGGAGTCTTGGTGGCACAGTGGCTCCCACAGTGGGCTGCTGATCTCAGGGCCAGCCACCGGAGGGCACCAGCTGCCCCAAGGATGCGTATTCTCCCTCGGTAACGCTTTAGTCCCAGACACCTCCAGGGGCAGTTCGACTCTGGCCTCCGGGCTCTCGAGGAGTGGAAACAGCTCAATGGGGGCGAGTTTGGTTGAGTTTGGTCTGGCAGTCCATGACATCTGTATTTATTTTAAATGCTAGAGTCATCTTTTCATTTTTATTTTTTGAATTTGGAAATGTCTTCTTTATTTTTATTTTTAAAATTTCTTTTATGTGGCCTGTTTAATAGTCTTCACCAGCGCCGTCACTTAAAGGCGCCCGCTCCTCTTTGGCCTACCGTGTTCATTGGCAGGCAGGCGAGATGGCCTGGGTCAGGTGTCCCTTGGTCTGCAGAGTGACACACTTGCCTTTCGACACTGTAAGGTGACCCTTTGCTGGGCGTTGCTTGATGTCCTGATTGGTTGGTGTTTCATGGATGTTGACTGGATCCTTGTCAAGTGAAACCCCTGACAACATCAGTCTTTCCTCGATGAACCACGATGCTGCCCACGGCTGTCTACATGAACATCCGATCTTCCTTCCTCTTTCCCGCCTTGGTGTGGAGGGGTCGTCCACACCGAGAGCGACGCCCTTGACCGTCGTCAGCCAGTGAGTGCTTCAAGCCCTCTTGGCTTTCTGTAGGCAGGACTGTTCAGTGGTCATGATAGTAGTGTGTTGGGTTGTTTAGATTCCATGTTTCTCAGTCAATGCCCCTTGCAAAGTGCCTGGCATATTTATTTACTGACTTGATGATAGCTATTAGTACTCTCGGTTTACCTTCATTGTTAATATTAAATGAAAGAGCTTTCATCTCTAAAGAGATTGCTGTTAAGAGTATCCCTTTTGAAAACATTTCTCCTGGTCCTTTGGGCAATGATCTCTGCCCTTGGGACTCAGGGATGTGCACCCTGCCCCTTTCCCTCTGATCCCAGCTCTCCCCTTGGCACCATGAGGAACATCTTCAAGAGGAACCAGGAGCCCATCGTGGCTCCTGCCACCACTGCTGCCACCGCCACCATGCCAGTTGGCCCCGGGGACAACTCCACGGAGAGCGGGGGTGCTGGCGAGAGCAAGGAGGACATGTTTGCAAAGCTGAAGGAGAAACTCTTCAATGAGATCAACAAGATCCCCTGTGAGTAGACCAGGTGGCTGGGAGGCTGGGGCACTGCTCGAGGCTTGGAATGGGCTTGTGGGCAGGGTGGAGTTTGTGGAAGGCTGGGGGATGGGACATGAGAGGGCTCTGATTGGCTGGGCGATTTCCTAATGCTTGGATTTCACTGGAATTCTTTGAGGGAAGCTAGCCCGGCACTGGTGAAGGAATCAATGGGCTTCTGCACCCCCAACCTTCAAGGGGAAACGGAAACTCTTAGAAATGAGCAAACTGCCCAAAGAAAGTGGAAACGACAAAGCAGAACCATCTATACACATTACAGCATTTGGGGAGATAAGAAACCAAAGCCCCCTCTTGCTCTCTGACTTGCTGGCCAACGCGACTCCAGAGAGTCATATTTGGGGGGGAGGGGGGACCCCCACTGGAGGTTCAGCACACGGAGAGCATCCTGCTGCCCATCCCCAATGTTTGAGTTACACAAATCTGTCTCGGGGTCCAGGCCCACCCTCACGGGGCTCTGCCTCTCTGCCTTGGGTTGCCCCTCTCATGACTGGGTGCACGGGGCAGGGCCAAGAGGCCCTTCCTAAATGGGCTGCCCAGGATTTCTCCAGCACAGCCATTCCCCACAGAGCAGCAGTTCCCAACCTGTGGGTTTCGATCCCTTGGGGGATCGAACCACCCTCTCTCAAGGGTTGCCAGATTCATAACAGTAGCAAAATGACAGTGATGAAGTAGCAACAAAAATAATGATGGTTGGGGATCACCACCACAGGAGGAACCATATGAAAGGGTGGTGGCATGAGAAAGGTTGAGAACCACTGCCTTAGATCAAACGAGTCAACACCCAACAGGGCCGAACTGGTGTTCTTCCGCACAGAGAGCCCTGGCTGCCCCTGGCGGTCAGCAGACTGCACCCCTGGCACAGTGGGCTCGGGAGAGTGTGTGGGTGTGGGGTGCAAACATCGAAGCGTGGGCCTGACATCGAGGACCACAGCCCCAGGCCACATTTCCAGTGCTGTGGGGCAGGTCCCCGCTGACCCGTGGGGTCCTCTCTATGTGGGCAGTACCTCCCTGGGCTCTGATCGCCATCGCTGTGGTCGGCGGGCTCCTGATCCTCACCTGCTGCTTCTGCATCTGCAAGAAGTGCTGCTGCAAGAAGAAGAAGAGCAAGAAGGAGAAGGGCAAGGGCATGAAGAACGCCATGAACATGAAGGACATGAAAGGGGGGCAGGTAGGGCCCCGCGGGGGAGAAAGGGGGGCCACAGGGACCCACCCCCCACCCCGCCTGACCTAAAAGGGAAAGCAACACCTTCTGAGTTTTGACCACCCAACAGTGGCCTCACAGCTAGTCTTTTTTTTTCCCCAATCGTTTTATTAGGGGCTCATACAACTCTTATCACGATCCATACATACATCAATTGCTAACAGCTAGTCTTGAAAACAGACTAGCCCCCTCCAGGAGGCAGCGCCCCAGCCCATGGCCCTGTCGCGGACATCCCCACAGCTGTAGGTCAGCTCTTGGGAAGGGGGCTTCCCCGTCTGCTAGCAGCACGTGACCTTGCGAGGACTGAGGAAGAGGGTGGTGTGGAGCCCGGAGAGGCTGCTGGAGGAAGGGAGAGCGCCCCAGGAAGACACCCTCTGGGCGGCCCTGTGTTTGTCCGGCAGGAGGCAATGGAGTAGCAGGGAGCTCTCGCCGGGCTGGGGACTAGCTGGAGACACCAAGGCAGGGTCAACTTGAATCCAACCCTGAACTCAGACTTGAGCTTATTGGCTTTTGCCTGGAAGGGCCCCGGGTTGGGGAAAGTGCCATGTTGTCCCATGCTCTGGGCTCATGCGGGGAGCCACTGGAAGAAACCAACACGGGGTGGGGGGTGGGGGGAGGGGAAGGGGATGGGATAGGGGGGAAGTAGGGTCTGACTTCAAGGAGGACCAGGCGGGCGGGGCATGCAATGGCCCGTGAGTGCTTGCACATGCGTACGTATGTAGGCACTCATGTGTCTGTGTGTGTGCCCCAAAAAGAACTACATATAAGGCGGGGGGGGGGGTGTCCCAGCATTGCTGTGTGCGGCCCCACTGCCACGTGAGGGGCTGCGCTGACCAGAAGGACTTCCTCTCATATCATTCCTCCTGCCCCTTCTCTCCACCCCACCACCCCCGCGGACTCCCCTGCTGTCGGCTTGGACCGAACCCCGGTAAGTCTTGCCCTGGGTGGGTGGCGTCTGTTCGTGGGAGGGGTGAACCCGGGAAGCCCTGTGGCCCAGGCCCAGGGTGAAGGCTCCTAGGGCCCAGGGAGCTTCAGAGGAGCAGGAGGGTGAGGGGCTTTGGGGAAGCAGCACCCCCTAGACAGTACCCGTCAGTCGCTCGGAGCCGAGGTCTGGCCCCAGAGGCTGTGCCATGCCAGCCTGCCATGTTCTCCCCTGCCAACTGGAGCCTCCCCTCTCCCAGCCTCCCCAGGACGACGACGACGCAGAAGGGGGCCTGACTGAGGGGGAAGGCGAAGAGGAGGAGGAGAAGGAGCCGGAAAACCTGGGCAAGCTGCAGTTTTCCCTTGACTATGACTTCCAGGCCAACCAGGTGTGTGGCTGGGCAGGAGGGAGGAGGCTGGAGACTGGGAGCTTGGTGGAGGGGGTAGAGGCAGCCCCGCCCCGCGGCGAGAGACCACTCCTCCTTTCCATGCACACTGGACATTGACCCTGGTGGTGGCCAGCTTCCTTCAGGGAAGGTGTCGGCCCGGGCTGACCCTGCAGTTAACCTGCCTGCAGCTTGGGCCGCTCACCTGCCCTCTGAACTCCCGGTTCCTGTCTGTCTCTGTGAAACTCTGAGCTGCACTGGAGGCTGATCTCCCCCTGCCCCTGGTGCCCAGGGAGAGTGGGGGTGCTGGGCTGGGACCCAGTCAGGCGTCCTGAGTCTCAGGCCGGCCCTTTCTCTCCCTCCCTCTCTCCACAGCTCACCGTGGGCGTCCTGCAGGCCGCCGAACTGCCCGCCCTGGACATGGGCGGCACCTCTGACCCCTATGTCAAAGTCTTCCTCCTCCCAGACAAGAAGAAGAAATACGAGACCAAAGTCCAAAAGAAGACCCTGAACCCGGCCTTCAATGAGACCTTCACCTTCAAGGTGAAGAGTCCACCGACCTCCCGGCCCACACTGCCACCCTGGTGTCCACTTACCTGCTCTGGGTCCTGGGGGTCTGTACCCGCAGTGGGGGCCCTGGGATCAGCCCGTCTGGAGCACTGGCAGGGTGTCCCCCTCCACGTGAGCTCCCTCCCCCAGGTTCCTCCCAGCATCACGGCACCCCGCTGTCGCCTGCCCGCCGCTCCCCTTGAGCCTGGGAGCTAAGTCAGCTGGGATGGAGGCCCAGGCTCAGGGCCTGCCACAGTGCCCGCCGGAGGCTTGGGCATCACCCTGACCCTCTGCCTGACTGCCCACAGGTGCCGTACCAGGAGCTAGGGGGCAAAACCCTGGTGATGGCTATCTATGACTTTGACCGCTTCTCCAAACATGACATCATTGGAGAGGTGAAGGTGCCCATGAACACGGTGGACCTCGGCCAGCCCATCGAGGAGTGGAGGGACCTGCAAGGCGGGGAGAAGGAGGAGGTGAGGGCAGAGGACCAGGAGCCTGGCTGGCGGCCTTGGACAGGCTGCCTCCTCTCTTCAGATCCGAGTTCTCTCTGTCCTGGTGAGGGTGTGTGCAAGGCGCAGCCAGGGCTCTGATGTCAGTCGCGCCCTGTCACTCTTGTTGCTCTGAAGGCTCTGCTGCCACCTGGGGCCAGTGGACATGGCTGTGCCTCAGTTTACCCACAGGGAAAGGCCAGTGTGTTCTAAAGGAGGCTTGGCCGGGAGCTGGACTTTGCAGCGGCTGAATTTATTCCTTATTCATGCCTCCTTCTTGGGGAGAATCCCAGGCCTTCTGCTTCCGTAAAAAGTTAGTCTCAGAAACCCAAAGGGGCAGTTCTGCCCTGTTCTATAGGGTGGCTGTGAGTCAGCATCCACTGGATGTGAGAGTGTGAGTGAATGAGTGTGTTGAGAGTGAGTGAGTATAAGTGTGTGTGTGAATGAGTGTGTGTGAGAGTGAGTGTGAGTGAATGACTGAGTGTGAGTGAGAGTGAGTATGAGTGACTGAGAGTGAGGGAGTGACTGAGTGTGAGTGAGAGTGTGAGTGGGCGTGACTGAGTGTGAGTGAGTGAGCAAGCCCCGTCAGACCCTGTGGGGCGGAGCAGAGCTGGGCAGCCGGTTCCTGGCTGTTCTCTATGTGAGCCGATGGCAGGTCTTTCCTCCCATGAGCCGGTGGGCTTGAACCGCCAACGTGCCCATGAGCAGCAGGGCTCTTGTTGCACTCCTGCCCTGTGCTGCGTCCAGGCCCCAGTCAGTGGTTGGGTCCACAGCCCCACCCGCCGGCAGGGCTCTGGGCAGTGATGACCATAGTGGACGGGATGCCATCTGTGGAAGACCCACTGCAGACTGAGTCGGGGCACCAGGTGTCCTCTGGGGGCTTGGACTCAGACGGATGAGCAAGTGGCCGTCGGGGGAGGAAGGCCTCGGAAAAACTCACCCCCAGGCTCCCCGAAACCCTAGCAGACAAACTCACTGCCTGGAGCAGTGTCCACTCCCCCTGCCCGGCCTCCACAGGCCTGTGTGATGGCGTACTGATGAGTCCATGCGTTTGCCCATGGGGTGACACGGGGCTCTGCTGCCTGTCATCTGGACAGAGTGATCACCAGGCCTGCCTTCCGCTGGCCCCTCGGGCCCAGGAGCTGTTGGGGCCCCATGGGCCCTTTCTGTTTGCCAGAACCCTGGGAGTGCAGGGCTGGTGCCACCCCCCTCCCTCCCCCAGACCTCCCTGTCCTGGGGGCAGGCCAGCTGGTGGTGGGGGGAGCCCAGATATGGCCTACAGGTTCTCTGGTGACTTGGTCACCCCTGCTGTGCCCCTCACCCCTGGTTCCAGGTGTGGCGCAGGCACTCCAGTGAGCAGCAGCAGTTGTTCCAGCGCAGGGGGGTCATGACACACGGGGGTGGGGGCAGGAGACTGAGGGACGTGGGGACCAACAATTGCCTTGGGAATCTGGTCAGGTCAGGGTCAGCCGGGGCTGGAACTGGGGGGCTGGGGGAGTGGGCTGTATGACCCTGAGCGCTCTCCCCCTGGACAGCCAGAGAAACTGGGTGACATCTGCACCTCCCTGCGCTACGTGCCCACGGCGGGCAAGCTCACCGTCTGCATCCTGGAGGCCAAGAACCTGAAGAAGATGGACGTCGGGGGCCTTTCGGGTGCGTGCAGAGCGTCAGGCTGCCATGGGGTGGCGCCCGAGAGCCAGCCGCAGCTGGGAGGGGGCGCTCCCCTAGCTCACTCCGCTTGTTCCCAGGGGCTGCTTTTGGGTGCATGCCTCCGGTCAGCTGAGGTCCTTGGGCAGGCTTGTCTTCCCAGCGACTCCCTTTCTCTGAGGTCACCTCCCTTCCCAGTGCCCTCCCAACAGCCTCAGCCTCTGGGCCCTGGAGGGAAGTTTCCCAAAGCATGCTCCTCCAGGCCCAACAGGGCAATGGGGCTAGACGTTCTGGGGAGCTGCTGCGGGCTCTGCGGGCTCTACCAGGGAAGAGGACGCCTTGTCTCTGATTTGCTGATGGTGACAGGGAAGGTGGGGGCTGGAGCTCCGACCAGTGGGGCCTTGTGCCCGCCCAGTTCTGCCGCTGGCTCCCTGCGTGGCCTTGGACAGGGCACTGCCAGCCTCTGCTCTCCACAGGTCATGCGCCGAATTGGAGGGTCGGCTTATGCAGGGCTGGCCGCTGCGTGCCACACTTTCAGTGGCCTTGGCGGACATGTCAATCAGCACCTGCACCTTGTCCCAGGGGGCCACACCAGGCCATTAGAATTGGTACTTACGGGGCGACCGTTCTGGTCATCACTGGAGGGGCTGATGGCGCCCCTGGCCTCTGGCCGTCCTGTCCCCTGAGCTGGGGCTCTCAGAGACCGGCGGGACAGTGAAGGCCGGGCTCTCCCTCCTCAGACCCCTACGTGAAGATTCACCTGATGCAGAATGGCAAGAGGCTCAAGAAGAAGAAGACGACGGTGAAGAAGAAGACGCTGAACCCCTACTTCAACGAGTCCTTCAGCTTCGAGGTCCCTTTCGAGCAGATCCAGGTGCTCGGGCCCTCTGGGTGGCCGACGTGGTGTGGGGCTGCTGGCGGTGGGCGAGGGCGGTGCACTGTAGGCAAAGAGAGCTTCACCCAGGAGCAGGCAGCCTTGGGGTCTGACAGTGCTGTGGAGAGGCCTCTCCCCTCTCTGCGTGCCAAACATGACCGACGTCAGGAGCCTTCCTCGGGGACACCGAGGATGGGGCAGGGCGGCGGTGGGGGAGCATGGTGGGTGAGACACCGGGAGGCTGCAGCTGCTGTGAGGAGGTGGGACCTCCCCAGCCCCTTCCCGCCACCTGCTGCAGGGCGGCTCAGGCTGCTCCCAGCTGCCCGACTCCCTTGGAGTGGTCTCTTCTTGTGGCTGTTGATCATTTGTGAACGTCAGACAGCTGACAAGTTGCCATGTGACGTGCGATTCGGTGACATCAGTGACATCCGCAGTGTCTGTCCGTCCTCACCATTGATTTCCCAAATGCCCGTGCCATCCCAAACAGAAACCCCGCGCCTGTCACACAATGACGCCTCATCACCCCTCGGCCCGCCCCCGACACCTGCACTCTGGTTCTGCGCTCCATGAATTGGCCTGTGTTCTGTTATGTGGGGGGCCGGGCCCTCAGTTCTGACCGGCAGCAACCCCGTGTGCGACAGAACACAACACCGCCCGGTCCCCCCTCTCCCACCCGCCACGACTGCTCCTCGGTTCGAATGCGTGGTTGCAGCCACGGTGTCCGTCCACCTTGGCCTGGGCTTCCTCTTCTGCTCTGCCTAGCATGATGAAGTCCTTCTCCAGGGACTGGTCTCTCCGGACGACGCGTCCCAAGTCCATCCAGGAGACGCAGTCTCACCAGCACGGCCTCTCAGGAATATGCTGGCTGTCCCTCTCCCCAAACAGATGGGTTTGCTCCTTCGGCTGTCCGCTAGCACCACAATGAAAATGCACCGATTCTTCTTCAGTCTCCCTGTTTCAGGGTCCAACGGTCAGGTGCACGAAGGCCGGGGAGGGCACCATGGAGCCGGTCAGGCGTACCTTAGTCCTCAAAGTCTCCTCTTTGCTCTTCAGCTCTGGGCCGCCGAGGTACCCCGGCGGCACACTGCTTCATCTCTTGACTGCTCCTTCCAGGAGCACTGATGGGGCCGGAGAACAATAGTCCATTGTCTGTAATACCATTTCTAGGTCTCTCCTTCCATCTGCCGAGGGGCACCTTCTGGCCCTGGCGGGTCATGGGACGGTGCGCGTTCCGAGAACATCTGTCTGTAAGAAGCTGTGCGAGCCACAGCTGTCAAGTCTTTCGGGCTGTCCCTAGAGCAGACGTCCTGTCACGTGGCTCCTACGCATGGCCTTTGGAGGACCTTGTCACCGTTTCTCAGACGTCTGCACTGTGTTGTGCACCTCCAGCCACGCAAGGGGGCCCAGTTTCTCCAGTCTCCCCGACACTGCGTGTCCTCTCCTTGAGGGGACACAGCCACTCTGGTCGGCGTGGAGTGGCACCTTTCCTGGTTTGAGTGGCACTTCCCTGGTGACGATGGACGTGGAGCTTCTTGTCCTCAGTCCATCTGCCCCTGTTTCCAGTTGAGTGGTGCTTGGTGGCTGAGCTGAGGTTCTTTATAGACTCTGGGTATGAAGCGCAAATAGTGGCGGCACGCCTTCTGTCCCAGTCTGGAGGGGCCTGGAGCTCTCTCAGCTCCCGCCCAGCTCCGATGCGCTTACTTGCTCCTTTCCCCCGTGGCCAGAGCCTGTCCTAAGTGCGGGGCGGTGTGCTAGAGCAACACATGTCAAGGGGACCCGGCTCTGGCCCTCAAGGGAGCCACAGACAGCAGGCCTTTCAAACAGTGCGAGGAGGCCCGCTTCAAGGGGCGGGGCGGGAGCCTACTTGGGGGTGGCTCCCCAGAGAAAGCCTGGTCCTCCAGGTCCCGTCTGAGTGGGTGTGGCTCGGGAGAGAGGAAAGGACTCACCTGTCCCTTCTTGGGTCACCCGGTCCTCTTGTTTCTTTCCACGAAACATCTTGCCTACTTGACTCCACCTCCCCATCCCCAGGGCCATGGTCTAGGTGGTCACTCTCCCCGATCCCAGATGCCTCCCCGACCCCAGGCCCGCTCCTCCTCCAGAGGCTCGGCCCCCTGGCCACCAGGCTTCTCTTCCCAGAATGGCTGTGCGGCTCTGAGCTGTCCCCAGAATTCCTGCTCTGGGCCCGCAGGGCAAAGCGCAAACTCACCACTGCTCTCAGTGACTCGGGACTTGCTCGGTTTCCCAAACACTGAATGCACGCTCGTCTGTCTGTAGACCTCGGCCCAGGCCCCTCTTCTCTGGAACCTTCTAGCCCTCTTGTCCCTGCCTGGAGGAACCCCCAGCCTTCAGGCTCCAGTTTACATAGTACCTCCTCTCTGAAGGCTCTCCTGACCTGAGTGGGGTCGTCGGCGTCCACAGTACTTTGTGCTCACGTAGTGTGTCCATAGCGTTGCCGGTGGGCGGTGCACGGTTTTGGATGATGCATCTGTTGACCTCACCAATTCATCTTTTCGCTTTCCCTCCATCTTCCTGTCGCCCAGGCGCTAGGCTCAGGGCCTGGAGCACAGCACGTGGGCAATAAATGCTTCTAGCTCGGAAGAGAGGCCAGAGGTCGCTCGAACAGGGTGGCCTCTGTCTCCGTACCCGTTCAGCCTTCATAGGCGCCTGAGATGGGAGCAACTGGCCCCGGGAGCCCCTCCCACCCAGTGCTTTGGGGTGAGGTCGGTGGAAGGGGGAGGTTGGTCAGGGGCCCCTGCCTCACTGTCTGCCAACTGCCCTTCCTTTGCCTGTCCTGCAGAAAGTCCAGGTGGTGGTCACCGTGCTGGACTATGACAAGCTGGGCAAGAATGAAGCCATCGGCAAGATCTTTGTTGGCAGCAACGCCACGGGCACGGAGCTGCGGCACTGGTCCGACATGCTGGCCAACCCCCGGAGGCCCATTGCCCAGTGGCACTCTCTCAAGCCCGAGGAGGAGGTGGACGCCCAGCTGGGAAAGAACAAGTAGGCTGTGGCGGCGGTGGCGGCGGCGGCTCCCCTCACGGACGCTGACAGATCCAGAGCTATTGATACCTCAGCTGTGCAGCCTTAGAGGTGTTTCTTTTCGCTGGTCCCTTTGTGTTGTGTCCTTCGTCCCTTCCCCTTTGAGAGGACCCACCTCCCCCTGGTGGCCCTGTGAGGGCGGCCCCTAAAGGGCGAGCGAGAATCGGTGTTCTTTTCATTGTTTGGGGGTCGCCCTTGCTGTCTGCCCTGTCACGACCCGCCCCCCGGCTCCCCAAGTTCCCCTCAGGCCTCGCCAAGAAGGAGGCCCCCTCCTGGCAGAAAGATGCAGCACTTCCTGTTTGGGGAAGGTTCTGCACCAACAAAATGGCAGCACTTCCTGTTTCCGGACAGGGAAAGCAATGCAGTGGCCAATGATGCTGTGTGTGTGTGTGCGTGCGTGCGTGTGTATGTGTGTGAGAGAGACTTTGAGCATCTCCCTTCATTCCTGGAATGAGCCACGGAAGGTGAAGTTGTGTTTGAAGAGAAGACTCTTCCGGAAACCTGTGTGGAAGGAAGTCCACTGTCTTCACTGGAGATCTTCTGTCAGCTTGTGGACACGGGGTCGGAATTCTGGTCTGAACATGCCGGAAGCTCCCGTTGTCCTTGTGGGGGTGCTGTGTGGGGGGCAGCAAGATGTGGAGACTGGATTTGTCCACAGCTAGGACCAAACCCCTGGCCTCCTCATAGACTTCCTCTACCTGCGGGTCATGCCTTCCTCAGAAGTGTGCTTTCTGGGATGTTCATGGAAATAAACACTTTGCTAGACGGGCCAGACTCTTCACAAGGACTGTCAGTCCCCGGACATCATTCTGGTCAACAATCAATATTAAACTACGGAGAAACCGAAGCCCCCTTGCCCCCAAGACCCAAAGGAAACTCTTGGATCTCAACCTTCTTCTGGTGGGAAACACCGACTCCCTCCCTCCCTCCCCAGACTATAGCAGAGCTGTTCATTTGCACTGAGCCCCCCGCCCATGCTTTTACCGAGGCTTCTCTTTCACGCCAAGCGGAGCAGTGCTGTCTGAAGACAGGCACTCTGTGCAGAGCCACAGAGTTTCCAAAGGAAGGCTGGACTGGTCTTCGCTCCCCCGAGGCCCATGGAAGAAGAGGGTGAGCCCTGCTCCGTCTCCCATGCTAGAGTGGCTGTGGTAGCTGGAGCCACCCAGGAGGGCCCATCAGGGAGGCCCTCCTCCCTCCATGCCTAAGGGAGCTTTTCTCTCCATGGAGTCTAAGAACCAGGCTGTCCATTCCAAATGGGTGGGGGACAAGCGCTGCCAAGGTTACTGCTCCCTGCTCAGCGGTGTCCCTGTCCCTCTGCCCTTGTGTCCCCAGCATTGATGAAAAGCCATATATATGTGACTCCAGTTTGTACTGAGTCCCCTTCCAGCCTTTGGTGTGAGCAAGAGAGTCAGGTCCCCATGTGGCCAGGGGCCAGTGCCCCGCCCTAGGCCCTTCCTTTAGTCCCTCCTCTCTGCCAGTCATCCGGCCCTCAGGCCATTGCATTTCTTCACACCACAACTCCTGGCTGTTTCTTCCTCAGAGGCTCCAGGAACCTGCTCGTGGCAGTAGAAATGGCAGCACTGCCTGGCCTGCCCCTCCTGACTTCTAAGCTTCCTCTAGCTCCCTGAGATGGATGGGGGTGTAGGCAAGGTTCAGGCTTGGAAGAACCCAGCATAATGAAGGTGCAGTGTCTCTCTTTGACTATGCAAAGAGGAGTTTGGGGGTTGTTTTAATTGGCATGTTGGTTAGGACAGGGGCTGACAAACACTGCCACCCGAAAGAGACTGGGAAGCCCAGCTCTGAGACTGTCCCTTCTTGCTAGTGGCACTGGCTGCCTGGGAAGATCGTTTTCAACTGCAGCCTGTGGGGTGTGTGTGTGTGTGTGTGCTTGAATGCCGCACTCGAGGAAAGATGGCCTCTGATGAGGGTGGTGGGCTTTGGTCCTTGGGACCAGACCTGTGGCTGTGGCGGGGAGGCATGGGAAAGTGGGGTGTCTTCAGACCCTGGGCAGTTGCAGAATAGGAGATCCTACTGCACCCCAGAAATCTTCTCCCACCCCCAGAGCTGTGCGGTTTTGGTGCTTTCCCTGGGTCTCTCTGACCACTCATGCTCCTCACCCACGTCCCCCCAACGGCATTCACGGACCCGCCCTGTCCACCTCCCCGCAGCAATGGCCCCTCCTCTGGGGCCCTTCTCTGTCCAGAAGCCTCCCCGACCCTTGGTGGTTTGGGTGTCCGCGTACCTGGTGCTGCTGGCGAGCAGTCTTTCGGGTGGTGCCGATCACAGAGGAACTTAGGGCAGGGAGTCAGGGCAAGACTTGAGCGTGGGGTTCCCTCCCTAGCCCAGCTGACGGAGGGGCACTTGGCCAGATAAGTGACCGTTAGCAAATCGCATCTTTCTAGGCTCACAAGGAAGAGGGGTGGTGGTGGGGTCTGTCCTTGGGGATTGTGATAACCCAGACTGCAGAGCATCATTCTGAGTCCGAGCTGATTTCTGGGGGCAGCGGGGTGCTGGCGGCAGGCACAGAGGGGGCTGGTGCAGCTGCCTACCCTGAGGGGTTTCTGGTTGCCTCTGGAGTTGGGAGTCTTCCTCCTAAGTGTATTGCTGAGAGAGGAATTATACAGAGAGGGGATTTATTAAGAAGGTATTAAACCATGAAAACCCCAACCCAATCCCACCCAGGACTTGAGAGTGAGGTTGAAAGCCGTTTCCACCCTGAAACAAACATCCCCGGCGAGTCATTTACTTGGCCCAAGCTATGGGCGGATGTTTGGACATTGGAAAACCAAGCAAGGCTGGAGAAAGGGCCCTTCGGCTGCCCCAGACAGTGGACTTGGCAGGAATGGGCAGCCACTTGCCTGGACTCTCAGCTGGAGGGGGGCGGCGGGGGGAGGGCAGCAGAGACCAGGACCCCGGGGAATCTGACTGTTCCCAGGAACCTTACGGAGCTCACACTCTGTGGCACCATTTTGGGGTGACCTCACTGGCTGGGGGCTTCAGCGAGGAAAGAAGGGCTGCAGCAGACGACCCTTTGTGGGTGATGCCAGCCCTTCGCAGGAAGCTCCTCCCTTGGGGCTGGGGAGTGGGCGAGTCTGTGAGCCTCTTAACATCCTAGGCCAGCCCCTGAGGCATCTGGGTCCTGGGTCTCACCCAGCCTTAGAGGGGTGGGGTCCGGACCTGTCCTCCTGAAGGCAGGACAAGATGGAGCCTCCACCCCGGCACCCCTGCAGGCTGGCGGGGCAGAGTCCCAAGGTATGATCTCAGTGACCCTAATGTCTGAACACATCTCCCTCCCCACTTTGGTCCCAAGAAACTGGCCGCCAAAGATCTCCCTTGACCTGGTTTTCGAACTGCAATATAGAGAAGGGGACACTGTGACTTGAAGACATGTGAATATACTTTATTGTTTAAACATCAAGACTCTTCTGAAGCCATTTGAGCCTCACCGTCCCCCACCCCTTCACGTGCATTTAGTTATATATAAAAAGAAGACAGCTATCTACTAACATCTGAGCAGAATCGTGTTGAACCAAGATGCATGTCTCTAACTTTCTGTAAATAGCCGCATGGCAATGCTGAGAGTCCCCTATGCCCCCACCCCCACCCCCTTTGACAGAACTCGAGGCTGCTCCTACAATTGTATGTCGTGTCTGGTCTGTGTCCTCCCCCCATCAGGCACCCTGCAGTAGGGGCCTTGGGGCCACAGAGATGGTGTCCGGCTCTGGTCCAGTCCCACCCCATGGAAGATGCTGGAGGCCTGGGGAGCCCAGGACGGCCCTCCTCCCTACCATCTCGGGGCAGCCGCCTGCTGAGCCCCCTGCAGTGGGCGGTGTGCTGCATGGGGCCGGGTGCCTGGTGTCCTGTGTCTGTGTGTACGTGTGTGACGTACCCCTTCTTCCCACTGTTTGAATTAACTGAAAAGCCATAAAGGGGCCTCCTGCTGGAGCCTGCACCCCGGTCCTCCCAGGAGCTCCCGTGTCCCTCTGGCTGGCTCCCCATGGACACTTGTGAAGGGCTTATCGCTATTACCTTCCTGCTCCCTCAGCCCATGTCATGAGGAGAGATGGTGTCCAGGGCTTCACGTGGGGTCCCAGAGAGGCTCCCTTGACCCGGGTCTGCACCCCAGCGGTGCATAGGGTGAAGTCAGCCCCTTTCCTAGGGACAGTGTGGCAGCCTGTGGTCAGGTCATTAGGGGCTTCCTTTATGCAGGGTCTGTGATGGTCAGGGGCAGGGACCTCTTGGAAATGGCGGAATTGCTCTGCACAGGCAGTAGGCTCCTGGAGTGGTCTTCCCACTCGGGCCTGCACTGCCCATCCCAGCCCCCACGTGTGCGCTGGGCTCCCTGAGAGGTGGGCAGCTCAGCGGGGGGCTCCTCTGGGGAGGGCCTCAAGCTGGTGGAAGGAAAGGCAGGTGCAGGAGACAGGGTGCTTCACAGGTCCCAGGGTCACCAGCAGCCACAGGCCCGGGGGACTCTGGCAAAGGCAGAGTCAGCCTGGGAGCAGCCCGGGACTCAGGATGGCAGCGAGGGGCCCCAGAGGCCAGCCGGGCTTGCCAGGGGTCAGCTTGCTGCTGTAGGGTGAGATGAGCAGGGGCCCCCTCGGAGCAGGCGGGGACAGAGGCTTGGAGGAGAC